AGTTAGATCTTGAGTTAGATCTTGAACTAGATCTGTAGTTAGATGTTGAGTTAGATCTTGAGTTAGATCTCGAACTAGATCTTGAGTTAGATCTTGAGTTAGATCTGTAGTTAGATCTTGAATTAGATCTTGACTTAGATCTTGAACTAGATCTGTAGTTAGATCTTGAGTTAGATCTTGAGTTAGATCTTGAACTAGATCTTGAGTTAGATCTGTAGTTAGATCTTGAATTAGATCTTGACTTAGATCTTGAACTAGATCTTGAGTTAGATCTTGAGTTAGATCTTGAGTTAGATCTTGAACTAGATCTGTAGTTAGATCTTGAGTTAGATTTTGAGTTAGATCTGTAGTTAGATCTTGAGTTAGATCTTGAGTTAGATTTTGAGTTAGATCTTGAACTAGATCTGCAGTTAGATCTTGAGTTAGATCTTGAACTAGATCTGTAGTTAGATCTTGAGTTAGATCTTGAGTTAGATCTTGAACTAGATCTTGAGTTAGATCTGTAGTTAGATCTTGAATTAGATCTTGAGTTAGATCTTGAGTTAGATCTTGAGTTAGATCTTGAACTAGATCTGTAGTTAGATCTTGAGTTAGATTTTGAGTTAGATCTGTAGTTAGATCTTGAGTTAGATCTTGAGTTAGATCTTGAGTTAGATCTTGAACTAGATCTGCAGTTAGATCTTGAGTTAGATCTTGAACTAGATCTGTAGTTAGATCTTGAGTTAGATCTTGAGTTAGATCTTGAGTTAGATCTTGAATTAGATCTGTAGTTAGATCTTGGTAGGCCTCGATACACCGCAAGAATGAAATCTCGCCTCGATCAAGTTGACAAGCCTCACCCGTTATGAACTAATAGATCCGCTGTCCGCCGATTGCGAAATTTGGCAACGTCATTGTACGTACAGCTTCGCAGCAAGGTAAAAGGAAAGAACGCCGGTGGCCGGCGTGGTGGCACATTCGCTGAATTTGCCGGGCTAATTTTTGACGCATTTATGGTCGGCGCGCCGCCTTTGGCGAGGATTTATTTTCTTCTCTTTAGGAAGACCGTGGCACCGAGTACCCTACAGAGCAAAAGTGTGCTCATGGTAAACGTCCAAGTGGTTTCTTGGAAGGAAGAACACGGCTACCAGCTTGCAAAATAGGCATTCGTCGACACTAGCCACCGTTTACCTTTAGTCTCTATTTGTACTTATTTTGTCGTGGCGAAAGTTCCGCCAGCGGACGTGTCGCCGCGTTCGAATCGAGCTCCAGACTGCTGCTGAATATTTATTTTCACGCTTTCCGCCTGTAATCGAATTTCCACCGAATAATCCATACTCTATCAGCCATCGATATCAGTGTGTCGGTGGATTTCATGCGTTTATCGCGCAAATAAACAGATACGAACCTGTGCGAACATTAGAAAACTATTATTACACTGTTCTGAATTCATCAAAATCATCGAACGATGGAATACATTTTCGCTGAACATCTATTATTTAGAAAACAACTTATAAACCATTTATCCACGGTCTAATTATTAAATTGCGCAAATGTCATAATTAAACTGCAACGCATCTAACGACATTTTCCAAACTGCACAGAAGAGTCAGAATTAATGAAAAATTGCTAATTCAAAATTAATAACTCAACAACATACAACGTTTCGTCTAAACCACAAGCACGCAAGCTGAAAATTCTTCCAAACCCGACACTCTTTCAGGCACCGAGATAATTTCCGAAAAAAATCCCAATCCGAATCCAGTCGGCTCGAGAAGAAACAGATTCTCAGACACCCGGGGAGGCAAAAATCTGTCGAAGCCGCGGCGTTTCCACGGAACATCGCGTCGAAGCAATCTCCGGGAAGGAAAGGACAAGTTCACGAAACGGTACCAAAAAAGGTGTGCTCGGATCACAGAGAGGAATGAGAGAGGAATGAGCGACGAATACCAGCGGAGTCTTCCGGAGTCCGTCGCGTCGGCAGCCGGTCGGCGACGACGACGACCGGCCTCGGTGTGTGCGAATAGGCAGAAAGTGCGACAGAAGTGCAAAGGAACATGGCCGCCGACGATAGGGTTTACCTGGAACACTTGTGCATGCAGGTAGGCCACGCACGTGCACACACACGGTCAATTGGCCTGGGCAGCCTCTGTTAGGTACCGCCCTCCGGAAGCACGGCCCTGTCGCACCCTATTCCCCCTTTCGTGCACCCTGCGTTCCCTTAGCGGGCCGGGTCTCGGGCTTCTATCTTGCCTCGTCCCGGTCGCTCGATCCTCTGCACACATCTATCAGTGACAAATGTCCTCGCGTGACCGTTCCCCGCTACGTAATGAATATCAGCGACGGGTTCCCAAGGTGCCAACCGCGTTTCAACCACGCGTAATTACTAGAGACCTGGCTACCGGCTGCAGAATCAACGCTTGGACTACTAATGGCCGCAGAATCGTGATGATCGGGTGTGTAGTAATGCCATTTGTGCGTTTTCTTTTGCACGTTCTTTAAGTTTTTTATTCTAGACATCGGTGATGAGGTAGATCATTGATCTGTAGCTGTCTTCAATGGATGTTATGCTCTTTTGAGCATAATGTATAGGTAGGGAGCTTCATCTATATACTGTACACTTTTTGATATTTTATTGTACGTTCTGACCTGTTGTTGAACCTTTTAGGCACGACGAGCCACTATAGTGGCTTCACTCGGTCATCGTTCGAATCAAATAATCGTCTTCATATGCATTGTTTCACACTTCTTTTGTCTTCACATCGATTTACAATATACAGACTTATCTTAACAATATAACTGTTAACAATATAACTGTATCTTAACAATATACAGACAGAATATACAGACACTCTATACACAGTACATATCAGACTCTGCCGTCCAGAGAAATAGCCTCGCGCAGAAAATTCAGCCGTACCTAAAAGGTTAAAATGAATGATCTATTAACCTGGGATTATCCACGCGAAAGTCTAATGCTAGGAGTATCCGCGCGAGAATCCCGCATTGGGAATATCCACGTGGGGATCTAGTAGAATCTTACCATTGGCAGATTTTCGCATATTTTAATCAGTAGATAGTACTATTTTCATTGGGAGTCTGTGAGCACCCTATTAATAAATTGCTGAACACTTTAATGTGACACGAATAAACGCGCTTAATTTTATATGAACGGAATGAAAACGATGATATATTGGGTTGGCAACTAAGTAATTGCCGATTTCAGTTATAGATGTCCCTCACTCCCATTTTTATGATATCCGTAAATGTTATATTATAAAATTATCATTATTATTATTATTATTATTGTTATGTTATTTTTTATTATCCGTGAATGTTAGCAACTGGACAAATTGAATGCAGCGGTCAAGGAAAAGCGACCAGAATTGGTCGATCGTAAAGGTGTCATTTTCCA